AAATATCTAATACCCTTTTGAATAATATAATGACCAAATACAAGTTTCATAAACAATTAATGAACATTTATAAAAACGAGTTAATTTAAAAATTTGATTCTCATACAAATTATAGGTACAGAGGTATGCTTCAAAATAAATACATTTTTTTTAAATAAATGGCAAATAAGGGGGTAAGTTACGATTGCGTATGGACTTTTTTCACCATTACGATTGCGTACATTTTATTCAAACTTAATGCAACGTTGTCGTTTATCAAAATCGTTAAATAACTTGTTTTAGGAAATTATTGCTTATCTGTGATAGCATATAACAAACTTACTATGACTATTATTCTCAATACCGAATATTTTAAGATTGATTATCGATACCAAGATTTTAATTTATCATTTGCACCTTTATTGTATCATGTATACATATTAAATTAACTATACTATTGGTTTTATTTCAATAAATTTAATTATTAGATTTATTAAAACTTATATTATTATTATTATTATTATTATTTATAACATAAATACGAACTATAGATTGTTTAATTATAGTGATATATTTGAAAAAAATCAACACACCATAAACTGGTTAATTGGATTAGATTAAAACCCAATTATAATTATTAGGACATGACAATCGTTGACGTTTGCTATAATCTTATAATACTGGTACAATATTAAATGTTTCAAACACCGCCTGCCTCAATGTAGCACAGCTTTAATCAAAACCTATATGGTTAAATGCTTAGAGCTTGGAGCATATCCTACATTAAGCTCATAATTATCATTGAAAGATTTGATCCTGATAGTATTTTTATTTTAAATATTCAAATTTATTTATAAGTCAACAATCGAATATCTCTACTCGGGGTCCATAGATATATGATATGATATATATATGTCGTAGCCACTTGATGAAATTGATCTTTTCATGAAAAGGTGACCATTTCATGAAATGGAAACAGATTTTTTACACTTCGTGAAGTTTGAAAATATTTCACAATATGGTCACTTTTTCATGAAATGGTCACACTAATTTAACATCGTGTAATTTTTTTCACAATGTGGTCGTTCACTTTGTGTACTGAAAATTGAAATACAATATTTATTACACACGTAAATGTACAAGCTTTAATAAACATAAATGTAAGTTATTTTTATCTAAAGAACACGTAAAGTTTGATTATATCCGTTAACTAGGTAGGTACGTGACACGTGTCCATTATAAAAAATAAAACAAATACTATCTATATTCTATACGACTATTATACTGCAATTACCGGACTATCCGAAATGTGTAGATAATATTTTATTGGTTTTGATAAATGTCATAATAGGATAATGTCATACCAGTATTTTAGTTATACTTTGATGCTCAAGTTTTTAGTAATTGCTGTGTGGATCATTCGATCGTATTCTATTACAATAATTATCTACTGTATTCTATCTCTACGTAGTATATTAAAAATGGATAACTTAAATGAAAATATTATCTACACATTTCGGATAGTCCGGTAATTGCAGTATAATAGTCGTATAGAATATAGATAGTATTTGTTTTATTTTATATGGACACGTGTCACGTACCTACCTAGTTAACGGATATAATCAAACTTTACGTGTTCTTTAGATAAAAATAACTTACATTTATGTTTATTAAAGCTTGTACATTTACGTGTGTAAGTTGTATTTCAATTTTCAGTACACAAAGTGAACGACCACATTGTGAAAAAAATTACACGATGTTAAATTAGTGTGACCATTTCATGAAAAAGTGACCATATTGTGAAATATTTTCAAACTTCACGAAGTGTAAAAAATCTGTTTCCATTTCATGAAATGGTCATCTTTTCATGAAAAGATCAATTTCATCAAGTGGCTACGACATATATAATATATAAATATATTAAGTACGAATAGTTATTAAAATTGTGGATTTAAATACTAGAATTAAAAATTAAATAGTTGATCGCGTAATCGAAATAGTGGATTTTTAGTACCTATATCTTTATTATTGATCAAATATTTTATTTAACCATACGAAATTATGATACGAGTACCTATTGGCTGGTAAAGTCCGTGTTATTATGTTATCTGCTGCTAATTGTAAGCTGCGAAGCATTTGAATAAGGTTATTAATATATGGCTCATTTTTAATTTTTTCTATTTCAATTGATTACTAAATTTAATTTAAAAATTTGTTTTACATAAACTTTATGCAAATATTTTGATACACTATTAAGCGTTCTTTTGATTGTATTATGCACATTTTCATTTACAATATCATTATACGAGCCAAACTCTCATAGTTCAAGTATAAAGTATTAAGTAAATATGAAATATAACGAAGTAGCTTAGTTGATTTACTGATTCAGCATGACTCGGAATATTATACTTAAATTTAAATGTATTAGTGTCTCACAAGTCACAACTATAAATAACCAACACCGTTAACTATTTTTCATAGAATCAAACGATGTAATAATATTGTCAAAAAAAAAAATTGATTTTAGATTACAATTAAATATGAGTAGGTACATAATATTATTATTTGACAAATTGATGAAAAAATCTATATTAAATTCAACCACTTTATCCGCCATAATAAATACGAACTAATGTGTTTAAAAATATTCAAATAATTGCATTTTATACTATGTGTATTAAAAAGTTTACACGTATTTATGAATTGTATTTAAAACACTCTTTAACATCAAATACACAGAAGAATTAATAAACTCAAATAACCACAAATTAATTTTAAACATACTATAAATATTTTATAAAACTGCCCACATAATTGAACCTCATAAAATAACTCACACTAGCACCCTTAAAAATATAAAACAAAACTATGGTTTCATTGGATATTGCACAAAAGCTTACAAAAAGAACAAAATCGAAAAAAAAAACATATAGTACCGTGTTTAATTTAATCATTTTAGAGAAAAAGTATAAAAATGTTTTCTCATAGAATTCATATGCACACTCAATTGTATTGTATTAAATAATATGTACTATATTTTATTGAATTATTACCAAGGTTTTACCAAGATAATCTGACTATTGTTAATGGTCATGACAAATTTATTTTGAAGCTCAAGTCTATGTTGAAATAGAAATTAAAGAAACGGATATGTGGCAATTGCTAATAGGTCGGAAACTAGGTACCCATGAATTGTTTTTAATATTATATTTTTCTTGTGTTATTTGTTAGTTAGTTACATTATACATTAATCTAAACATAAATTTCAAATTACCGTTGGTTGTGTGTATGTGTGTGTGTGTGTGTGTGTGTGTGTGTGTGTGTGCGCGTGAATTTTATTATTATTTATGTTTAGTTTTAGCGACTGGCCAGTCAGCGCACCAACATGACTTATGAGTAAGTATTAACTATACCGTTTTTTATTATTATATCTTGTTTTATACATTGTTTGTAGTAAAAGGGCTTCGTAGATTTTATTTTTTACATAATTATTATTCTGTTGAGCCAATGATGCTAATATTTATATTATAAGTTTTTATGCTGCTGTAAAACGAGTTACTATTTCTTATAGTTTCAAGTACCTACGTCCTACATACATACATACACGCAACGCACACATTTACACACGTCACCGCACACTGGCACTCACTATTTTTGCTCAGTGAACCCATCACTTCCTTTGAGTATCGCTATACAGTACACACACATAATACGTTTACTGTATACGCTGGTCGGTCGGCAAGTAGTTGTGCGACGCAAAATATTTCGGTTACCGAGTATATGGCTCGAAGCTTATTTTTGTTCATTTCCGTATAACTATTGTACATAACATAATATATCATTATGTAGTACCGTATTCAAAATAAGTGTATTGAAAAAATTCTCGAAAACATCAAACGAAATTTTCCTTCATACACTCTGTAGCAAACACTTTGTAATACATATATGCATTTGCACGTGATAAATATTTTTGGGAATACACTAAAGCTAATTTCGCTATATATTAATATGCACAATATGAACAGTTCTAATAGACTTTTCATTTTTATCTTTCTCGTCTGTTGATATTTTCATTAAATTCTTCATAATAAAGCACTTTGTGATTTGTTGTATTATTGATAATGAAACACGTAACGCAGCAAACAGAAGACAGCAATCTTGTCTAAATCATTTCATTTTTAGAGGAGAAAAATTGTTATATTTTTAATTACCTTAATGTATTTCTTTTTTTTTTTTTAATTTTTACATTTGCGACAAATTGCCTTTATTTTACTTGTACAATAATATTAAAAAATATCTTACCTATATAGTTATTAGATTTTTTCAACAATACTTTCTCAACCAGTAATTTAGTTTTGATTGCTCCTAATTATGATTAATATTAAATTTAAAAAAATTTTCAGCAAATTTATGATTTATGAGCAGTAAAACTCATACAATATTTGTTTACTATAACAACACTTCCTCAATATTATTGCAGAGGACTCCTCCATTTCTGCGCAGTAACTAGAAGAATCAAAAAAATGAATTGTATTATTATGCCTTAAATATTCGATTCAGATCAAGAGTTAGCATAATTATGGGAGACACTTGCACCGCTGATATTATATGCAACTGATGCAAAGTTATGTTTTTATACCTGCTTGATTCAGCTGAAACTGAACTCTAATCTCATTAAAATATAATACTGTGTTTCGTGTTGACTTTATGTGATAAAAGAAAACACAAATAAACAAATAATTAAATAACATTTAATTAATTATAATAATACATTTTTATCTGTGTATACTGTAATCAAATAACATAAAAAAAAAAAAAAAATAGCTGACACAAACGATGTGGGCGGCTTTGATATGACTTAATTTGTTGTTACCTGCTGAAATGTAATGGAATTACACCAATGCATTTATATATATATAGTATCTTTTACAATTTGATAATGCCAAAAAAAAAAAAAATTTAATTATTTTTGATTTCTTTTAGAACTCGATATTATTATGGTATACATATATTTACTGAAACGTAATATTTATTCGTACACATTTTGTATACACTGATACACAGAACTTCAAATACCTACCTGTTGCCAGTATAGTCATCGATTGTTGAATATCTAACAGATACACAGCTCGTCGTGGATTTTCTGATGAGAAATAGGTAATTAATTAAGTAAGTATTCACTAATTTTACGAAAATTAGTTTAATGACTAAATGGTACGTACTTATGTTCAATTATTTAAATGTGCTTAAATTTTTATATATATATAATATATTTCCATGTATGTATAATTAAATCGCTAATAAGACTGTTAACTATTCGACTATTAGTAGATAACAGTTAAACACTGACGGGAAGGAATTCAATATAAGTTATTAAATAACTTAAAGTTTAGTTAGATTCTGAGCGAAGAATTTATGTGTTTAACGATAAAAAGAATATTTTTGTGTGCATGTGTCTGTTGTCATCTTTCGGAGAAGTAAAACTTAGAATAAGTTCTGATAGCAATAGTATTTTTTTCTCCTTTTTCTTTTTAAAGTTTTTCTGACCAAATCATAATTGGTACTTTTAATGAGTCAAAAATAAAAAAAAATATAAATATTTAAATTCGATCTGTGATGTTTATAGATGTAGTTTTCCTTTTTTTTTATTTGATTAAAGTATGACGATCATGTAGGTACAACAACATATATATATATGTTCGTGATTAAAAAAAATTTAATTTAAATTGTTTTACACAAGATTCCTTGTTTCAATACTTCGTGTCATTCTTGCCGAACTCCAACTCCAAAAATATCGAAATACGTAACCAACATTTTTATACAAGCGTGCAATTATAAAGTTCTTACGAAATTCTTTGCAAAAAATCGCAAATTATTTTTATTTTTTTAATTTTATAATTTTTGTGTAAATTTTTATTTATTTTCAGTTTTAGTAACTACAATAGGTACAGGGTTTCTCATTAGTTGCTCTTACACAATCCTTTAATACATCTCAATAAGATATAGAAGTACGATTTTGTTTTACAGACGTTTCAAGTTAAAATTTCATAAGTTACATAATCCACAAACCTTCGTCGCGTGATGCTCGGTGGAACAAATAATGTGCTCATGACCACGAATAATCAGAATATGTGTAACAGTAACGTATGCGATGATCGTAACGGCGAGTAAACAACTAGACTATTTATTTGTATTTTTTTTTCTACAGCCACGGTTTCGCCGATAACGCCAACACCGAAGAACGTGTAACAAGTGGCACGTGCGACCCTAGAACAACGGACTCCGTTTCGATTCCATTTCGACGAAGTTTAAACGAACATTTTTTTTTTCGTTACCCAAAACACTAAAATTCCTCCAAACATCAAAACGTATTCACCGCTCTATCATTTGTCTACAACAGTTTTTAAATTATTGATTCGTTTTAAGACAAAGAACTTACACATATTCATATCTTTCTACGGTAATACCCGTACGGTATCGACTCATAAGGTAATTAAAAGTTAGTTATATATACTATATTATTACATTGATTATATCTTCTATTTATACTCAATGAAACTATGTTGTATATTATGTGAAAGTGAAATAATATTGTAATAATTATTTTGTAGGAACTTAATATGTATGAGTATGGCGAAAAATGAAAATAAATTCAACACTTCAACCCGCACCGTATTGTTTTTATCTTATTATCGACGGTTTTATAGTTCGTTACTAATAGAAAAATAAATTAAGAATAACAACTTTTATAAAAATAATAATTAATAATTAGATATTTTAAAAATATTTAGCCATTTTTTAAGATGTATATGGAAATTTATATTTTATTCTCTATTATTATTTTTGTTCTGTTTTGTTCTGTTTTTTTTTTTTTTTTTTATCAATTAATACTGTTAATATTTTTATTTTTCTGAATAAAGCTCACCAATTTAAGCTAAGGTTTCTCAAAAATTATTCAAACTATCAAACTACCTTACTAAGTTCATAGTCGCAATTTTTTTGATAAGTTGAATTTAAACCTAGTTGGATATTTTTTCGAAAAATAACGATTATACTAAATTTTGTTATGATTAAAAAAAAACTTTAATTGTAATGACTTTATTACACTTTTATTATTATGAGTAGCTATATATAATACAAAAATATAAAAATGCTTAAAACTTGCTTAAAAATTAAAATATCATAAAAAAATCGACGAAAAATAACAGATGATGTTCTTACCTTCATTTCAAACGATGTTGACAATATTTTCAATTAATTGTCAACCCATTTAATGTTAATATTGACAATATTAATGTTTTTCCTGTTGAACTTCTAATGAAAATAATAGATTTTCAGTCCCGAAATGTTCTTAAAAACGCATTCAATCGCCTTTATACTTTATTATACTGAACTTCCTCCGTCATTTTTAAAAATTAAAAATATAACTGTGCAATATTGTTGTTTCTTTGAATCAATGAATACGAATAACAGGCCTTTTCTCATTTGAAAAAAATTAAAACCTACACTGAGCACGCTTAACAAATAACTATCTCAATCGCATCTACTTAAATCATGCATAAATAATTTTGATGTAGAAATCGAAAAAATAGTAAACAATATCAAACAAAAAAAAATCACATTAAGTGTAATCATCAAATATTCAAACAGTTGTAATTTCATTGTTTTCAAATTTGTAACTGTTAATTGTAAACATAACACATTTTTAATATATTTTTTCCAACACGGCCCATGAAGGTTTTTGAATTTTTGAATATAAATCCTGAGTTTAAAATGGTTGCCGACCATTGATGTGATTAATTGTTAATTTAATAAAAGCATTTTTAATACCTATAAATGACACAATAAGAGTAGAAATATTTCAATATTTTTTTTTTTTTTAATGATTAGATAAAATATGATTTAATAATACTCAAAACTTAAACATTTGTACGCGACAAGCATTTATATATTGTCTTAAAATGAATAGCAATAATACATGATAAAATTGATATGCAAAACTTAATTCATCCCTTCTCGGTATTACTAATATTAAAATGGACTACTATAGTTGTATTATAAATACATAATAAAATAAACTTAGTAATTTCGACTAACTGATTGTTTCCATTCAGAATCGTTTTTCGTATGCAATGATTTATCGTTGAATTGCAATTTAACATATTTATGATAGTGACTTTTTTAATGATTAGATATTCTTGGCGTTTCGGCACGTACTTGCTACTGTAAAAAAGAACGCTTATATTATACTTGCTTACTTCTTTATTTTTATTACTGCGCTTGTTCGTTAAAAATCAAAGACAATTAAATGTTATTTTCAATATCGACTCTATTATTTATATTTTTTTTTTAAAGGCGGGTGTTCAGTTCAGTCACCCTTGACATTTTCAAAATTTCTAGGCTCCAAAATCTATATTGTATGGGACAGAAAATAGAAACTACAGAAACTAAGAAATGTTGTAAAGGTTCACTTAAGTCACACACGTTTTATTCTAAATGTCTTTGTAATTGAAAGATAATATTATTGATAATACATTCATATTATATAAATATATAATACAGTCATAGATAAACATATAACATTGTATATTTTTTAAAGTTATATGAATTTATTAGATAATCTTTTATTATAGCATCATAAATCATAATATACATATAAAGACTCACAGTGAATAGTAATGCAAAATTATTTGCACGGGAAGAAAACACGTATTTTTATAATATAACATGAGCTCTTAATGCTAAAATTTCAAAACTTAATCTCTATCTGCTACGTCCTGTGATCCAAATAATAATTTGAGAATTGTGGACCGTAGTTACTACATAATAATATTATATAATCTAAAGGAACCTGAAAAGTCTTAATAATCCTCTAGAGAATATTATCATAGTATCTATATGATGGGTAGGGTAGTTACATGAATTCAATGTTGAACTTAAAATTATTAGTTCATTACACTAATTAATTTGTCTAATAATATATTATTCTCGTAGTAGTAACGGAAAATTTAAAATAAAATAATTATAGGTTGATAGAGTTAATTTAATATATTACATAAATTCAGTTTTATCTCGCTGAGTATCTTACAGATTATTATTATTATATACATAAAATACTTATTCTAGTTCTATCAATAATTACATTATCAAAAATGTACTTGCTGTTGATGGAATATAATAACATAAGTTTAGCCATGTTGCACAGCAAAAGATAGGCACGTATTTAGTTTTGCGATGTTCCGAGAAATAATATTCAGATACCTTAATTATTTAAGATATATGCGTATACAATATAAAACTAAAACTTAAATTAGATAACTAGAAGTAAGTAATGGTAAATTAATAGTTTCTTTTACTTTTAAACTACTTACGTAAACTTATCTTATCGATGAAATTCAATGTCTTATAAAAACGTTTTAAAATAACAATTATTTAAAAAATTGTACCTAAAAAGTCCGGAACGAAAAATAAAGAAAGAATTTATTTCCCATTAAAGTTAAATTAAATTAATCGATAGACATTATTATAAAATACATTTTCTTATACGTAATACACTTAATCATTAAGATTAATTTTATATCCATTAATCGCGTATTCTAAAATAAATAAGAAGTATTCTATAACTTATAAGTATCTAACATGTCTAAAATTGCGTCCTTGGAGAATAAATCAAACTCAATTTTCGTAACTTATGATCCCATTCGTTCACTTATTTATATATATTATATTATATATATGTATATGTATTATAATATAGGTTAGACAAATAGTAAGCAACGTAATATTAAAAACTAATCAATAATTAGTATTTACCAACAATATATTATATATATTAGAAAATTTGAATTACATTTATATGGTATATATTTTATAATAGAGGGCTATATAAGTATTTTATTTTATACATTAAAAACGATTAATTAATATTCTAACTAAATATTATGTAATATTATTATGTTAATAATTGATTATATTATATTATGTATGATATATAGTTTAATATTCATTATTATTATCATCTAACATTATAAATAACATCGAGTGGGTCATAACATGATTTACGGGTAGTTATTAATACGCCACACGTATATTCGCCTGAAATTACATAATATTATACACATTACTTATAGCAGTCAATTTAAAGCAATAATAAAATATTTCATACAAATAAATATCAATAGAACTATATTTTTGTTATACGATTTCAATTCCGCGTAAAATTATAATGGATAATGTAAGGTCTATAATGCATCACAATAAAGACCGAGTTGTATTGTGACACTGGTAGCGGAAAAATATTTATAATTTAATAATATTATTTCAATTTGAATTTTGAAATCACTTGCAAGCCGATTCAAGCTGTTTTGCGCGGAGTATACGTATCTAAACGATATTAAACGGTTATACTTCCATAATCAATCGAAGGTACTCGTTCATTGTTAAAATTTACACTTTACAATGGCAATCGAAAATGTTGATAATTGACACGCCCGAGATGCAGTAACTATTTAGTATTTTGAACTTTCCGCGAACGACTTCTTAGTCACAAACTTATTCAAACAACTTAGTATACTTGAAATATTTTCGAATCGCAATAAATTAGTTTCTGATTTGTGTATTTTTATCTCGGAAACATATTATGTCCCGTTCCGAAACGCAACGTACGAGTATACCGTTTCTGCGTAACGACTGGCGTAGGTAGGTATACTATAATAATTATTATCTGGTTTTACTGCGGCATGTCGAACGGAGCGAACTGTGATTGGTTATCGGTTATTTTCATTAGTTTCACAATGATACGTTTGTATTGTATTTTTACATGGTTTCTTGGGGGAGTTAAAAAAAATCTCGTCAATTTTATCCGACGAACTTCTGCAGATTGAAAGATGAATACAGATTGACATTTGGACGGGTGATGTATTCAAAATATTATTTTGGTGCATATAGTCAACATATTATAGAAAATAAAGTCTCTTGACTCTGATAAAAGCATATTAAGTAACTATCGCCGAAGACCTGAACGTGTAATATATATTTTTGGACAGAAATAGACCTTCGTCAGTCGCATTTGAGAGTATTTATTTTTATACATGAAAAAAAAAAAAAACTGAGTAGGTATTTATATACATTCGAATATTCGATTCGTGTATAGTTATGCGTAGTGGCAATGGCTTCAAATCAAATGCATTGTAGGTAGTTAATTTTCGAATTCCGTGGGTGTACCTATACAATCATGTTATGTACCTGGTTGCTGCATTAAAAAGCCAAATCTACGGCTACGCATACACTGACACGCACACACACACACACACACAGTACCTATACAACACACACGATAATACGCCACACGGCGTTGTTAAAATGTTAACATTCACAAATAATATTATTAAAACGATTTAAAGCTTTGATCCCACACTAATTTTACGATTCGATGTATCAGACATTCAAATCGCAATTCATACGCAGCCACGAAAATACACTGTTTATTAATATTTGTATTTTATTTCGCACTGCGCATACTGCATACAGCATACGACAGTGTTATAAAAATAGAAAACGGGACAAACGATTTTTTTAATTTTTTCCAATTACATCTAAGTTATGATTAATTAAAAAAAAATAAGATAATAACTGTGATAATATGCTGCTCTTTTTAAAATTGTTTTATATTTTTTTAATACTTTTTCTTACAAGCGTTTTTAATGATATGCCAATAACGGGATTAAAACGAAGCCATCTTTTAAAAAAACGGGATAAAAAGCGTCCCGTTCGGAGTTTGTCGGGACAACGGGACACGATTATCAAAGAAGGGACTATCCCGTTTGAAACGGGACGTATGGCCACCCCACACTACACGGCAGTACACGTTAGCATAATATAGTACAGCCGCGCAAGTTTAATAATAATGTATGATATAATTGTGATGGGTACAGTTTGGAACTAGAAACGAAAACGCGGTAACGACGGTCACGTCGTGTCGTTATTGCGATGATAATAATATGTATAATATTATTGTTGTACGATGAACTTCTAATGTGGTATACGCGAACGGAGCTTTTAAAATAAAGGTAGGTATGCTCGTGTTAATAGTTTTATCGAATTTCGGTCGTCCAAGGCCATAAATACTAACCCACCCGCTCAAATGTGTGTGTGCGTGTGTGGATCGCGTGTAGCGGTGCGATAACACGCACGCGTGCGCGTCAGTGATTTGGCGTGCACATTTACTACCTACTGGACGAACTACCTGTTATCACCGGCATCGCTGTCTTGGTCGCCTCCGCGGTCTTTAACCGGACCGCCGCCACCGGTCGCCTCCACCGCGGTCGTCGTCCGGACCTCCGCCTCGGTCGCGTCTCCCGCGGTCGTCGTCCGGACCTCCGCCTCCACGATCACCCTGGGCGCCTCCACGATCGCCTTTTTGGCTTTCGTTAGCGGTAACACCCGTCGGGATAATATAATCCCATAGCGAGCGGCCGGTACGCCGTCCTCCATCCACGCGGCCGTCTTTAGAGCCGACGTCCAACGCCGGCACCGGCTGCGACTCGGTCGCGTAGGTTCGCGTGACCGAAGCGATGATGGCCGCCGCGGTAGTGGTGTTCATTGCTGCAGAAGTGTTAGCGGTATGGTTACCGAAAACCGCACTAAGCCCCGGGTCGTCGCCACGGGGCGACGACCCTTATACTTTGCCGTACTTATTCACCACGCAGTACACCATGAGGCTGAGCAAGAACCCGCCGGCCACGGCGACGAACTTGGAGCACGCCTCGAAGTCGTCCTGGCTGTTGTCGTTAATGGCGGCCCGCAGCTGTTCCTGTCGCCGCCTGTTGGCCAGCTTGCGCGCCAGTTCCGGGAACGCCAGGCTCTGAGTGAACGTCAGCTTGTGCAGCGAGTCCGACAGGCTGTGCATGCCCACGCTGCCCCTGGTGGCCATCCGTTGCAGGTCCGCGAATTCCGGGTCCGTGGCATCCGAGTACCGACCAGTCCACGTGGAACTCCGGCGCCTGCCCCACGGCACGCTGAAACGATGGCCGCCCGGCCCGTTCGATCCGGCCACGCTCAGCGATGACGCGTCCGACGACGCAGCCGACAGGTTGCCGCCGCCGTCCATGACCGCGAAGTCGCCGACCTGTTGGCATTGCACGGAAACAGTGTAAATAATGGACAATACATCAGCAAAAATATTAAAAATATTTTACAAACATTTTAATGCTGTGACGTGTTTGTGTGGTTCCACCCTTACAACCTTTATCGGGATAGGCCTGAGTAATAATCTACAGTGAAAATGTATCGTTACAATGTCACGTAAAAATCTCGTTAGATGTAAAAATACTGCGGAGGGTTATTCTAAGGGGATGTGAGGACTTATCGTCGTTCGAATCTGTTTGGCATAAATTTAAAACACTCTCATCCCCGTCGCATAGTGACCGGTGGGCAATATGAGTATCTTAGATTGTACAGGCGATCAAATCATAGACGATTTTATACCGACGTGTTTCGGATTTTGGCACCCCGAGGCCTTTTTAGTTGGTCGGAGTGAGCTTGTCATATTGTACATTTCACTTGAACAGCCAAGACTAATATTAATTTTATAATTTTATCTAACCTAAAAACCACACAAACACAGAAAAGTCTGCACTCTACTGCGTATAGGTTTATTGAGTGAAAACTAACTCGATGTTACAATATTAAATCGAGACGGTCCTTGCAATATTACGTGACTAAAAACCTATAAGTTACTCAAGAGAGACAATAAAAATTTTCCATTTGTTTCTGAAAAATAATTATCTAATTTTGTTTCTCATAATGTAAAAAAAAAAAAGCCTAAAATGCTTAAAAACGACGCAATTAATGTTTTCAATATATTAATATATTAATTATTACATTGTATATATTTAATAGCACTTAAGAGATATGCGAGTATTTATAAGAAAACTATGAAGATACCAGGTAGGTATTGCAAGATTGAGATACGCATGTTGTTCAAATACAAATGTTTGTACTTTTGTAGATTCTTGTTATCTATATCAAAATTAAACGCGTATATAAGAAATATAAGTATCATAAAAACTGTAATTTAAGAGGAAAATACTTAAATAAATACTTTTAAATTAAATACTTTGATCAAACTGAACCAAAGTATATAACTAAATTAACAAAACAAAATATTATCTGTTTAATAGTATCATAACCTCATTTTTGAGAAAAAAAAAGTGTTTAGTTATTAATTTATTAGTATGATTTCAGTTATTGTAGTGGTGGAATCAGAATAAGCAATCGACAACATTTTCGATCAGTAATAAGCAATAGCAATAAATTGTCGTTCATAGAACATTGGAACAGAAGATCAATGAAGGTATTCATCAATAATAGTCGTCACTTGTCATCAACGCGGAAAACAATTTTGAAATAGGTTTAGTCAGTATAATTCGTCAAATAATTAACTTTCTTATTTTAGAATTTTTTAATTTTAATGAGTTTTATCAGTTTTCTACTATACAGATGTGTAACAAAAGAAAAAAAAAATATGAAAAAATAATTAAAAATTATTGAAGTTTAACTGTGGGACAATTAACTGTCCCGAAACACTTTATCGTTTTATTCAAAATTGGTATAACCACAGTCAAAATAGGATTTATGGCCAGTCTAAGTTAAGTTGACTACTGTCCACTGTCCAGACAGTTTAATAAGTGAAAATTTAAAAGTATAAACCTTTATATTTTAGGTAAATCGTACCTATATACAATAATTATGACAAATATTTATGTAGTTTTGCATCTATTTTATTATTTGGTGCAATAAAAATGCCTAGTTAATACCAACATGTGTTTTATTACCTAACAACCTAACCATTCTGTAAATAAAACAGTATATTGCTTTTTTGTAATTTTAGTATTTTTATATACATAGTAAGTTATACTAAAGTTTTTTTTTTTTTATGTAATAAACCGTAAAATAAAAAATTATAAATATAAAAATAAATAAGTTAATAGCTGCTGTAGCCCATCCAAAAAGGAAAAAAATAATTGAAGGTTAGGTATTATAAAAGGTATAATTGAAGGGCAATTTCAAAAAAAAAATTACTAAGTATTATAAGTTTGTTTTGTATACAAAAATAAAAATAGATTTTTAAAGCACCAAGTTGTGAACTTCAATTTTTAATATCACTGCTAAAGAGCTCTAACGAGTACTAATGTACCTATAAAGTAAGCAATAACAAGAAATAAATTTCTTAAGTATGTTTAAAAAAAAAAAATAGTTTTCATATCATGGCTAAAATTTCAAAAATATTAAAATTTATAATTTATTTTAGACATATTTTATTACTACATTCGCATGCATATTTAAAAATTAATTAATAAGACATAATTTTCTGCTCTATTCATGATTGAATAATGGCTTTATTTATACATTTATTTACTTTCACAAAAACAATGATACAAATATTATATTTAATTTTTAAATTTCCGTCTACAAATTAATAATAAAATTAACTCATAAAAATGTATCACCTCCTAAGTCAGAATTGAATGTGTTAAATTTAATGTTATATGATAATTTACTTGATTTCATATGAAAAAAATTTATTAATTTCGCCTTAAATATGCGGACTTGGATCCATAATATATCCATGTGTATATATGCCAAAGTGCTAAACATTATCAATATTTTTTTACGTTAAGAAAAATTTAAATGAAATAAAATATTTCATATATTTTTATTTTTTATACATGGATTTAGTTTTGAAACTACATCAACATCAGTAGATTATACAACCAGCTTTTCAAATTTTCTGTAAATTGACCTATAATAATTACTATGAAATAAGTTTGTCTGTTATTCAGATTTGTTTTCAATATCATTTGACAGTTTGACATATAACATCGTTTTTATAATTATATATTAAATTGTTGAGTTAAATTGTTTTTCCTACCTCTATATTATCTCCATTCCTAATTTATCTACATTTTAAATGATTATATGGATATTAATTACTCATATATTCAATACTATTGGTTGGATAATTTAATTTTATATTTCATAAACACACATTACTTCAATAACTAATATTGTCGACAAATATATGTTGTATTTACATGACTTTGATTTTACAAACTTAAATACATAACCGAAAATATATTTATTACTATAGTATCCTACTTACGCTCTACTGTATATCTATAAATATTACGATTATACCACATAACGATCGAAAACTTAGTTATTTACTTAAACAAGATATAAATTAATGAACTAAAATATACTGAAGATATTTCAGTATCTTGAAATTACAAAATTTATTTTGAATACTATCATTGACGTCAAATGTTTATGCCTACAGTTGTTTTGTTTCGCAGGTATTTAGGGTAACATAATAAAATAATGATAATATATTTATGTCACATACTCACGTTTACATAGTATACATAGTATAATCATTCTTTTTGTAAAATTGACATTCAGTTCATAAAAAAAAAAACGATCATACCGTGCTCAGGGTTTTTGAATATATAAAATGAATAATTTGTGTCCGTCACGTTAGAGGGATAAGTCTTTTTTAAGCATCACGAAATAACTTTAAAAAAAAAATGGACAACTTTACATATTTTCATAAAATGTATGTACTAAATGATCGCATTGCATAATAATTAATTGCATTATATTATCTGGATATCTGGTTTATTTATTAGTACTTTAGTAGTTTGTATTAACGTTGTAACCTTTTCTCAAAAAAAAAAAAAAAACTAATTAATTACTTCTATACCTTTTTCAGATAATTTATGCTTATATTATCTGAGTAGTTAAAATCATTATATGATTCATATTTCTACTTCCCGGATTTTTAAAAAAATGAATCCTCAGATATTGAGAACATTAGCTTAAATTATAACTTTTAGAATAGCGGATAACACATTTAGATACAATGTGACATAAAAACAGAAGAAATACGGAGACAACAATAAAACATAAATTCAGTTTGATTCAACATTAGTAAATATAACACGAGTGAAGTTCAAAAACAAATAATTAAACTTACGTGAAACAACCGTTGAAATATTTTAAGGACAAGGTCATTGTAATTATTAAAATGTTAGTGATACAAATAACAATAAATCAACGTCAAGATAAAAATATTAATTGCTCTATAATCTATGTGATTATTTAGTACCTATATCTATTATCTACTGCACAAAAACTTATAAAAAAAATAAATATATTTTTACTAATTACACACTGTCTAGTAAAAAATTATAATTTTTACTTCATATAAATATTATAATAAACAATTTTAACGTATGTAAGCGTTGAAAAAGAAAAATAACCATTTCATATAGAAAATAAAATTATTAAAATACTGTAATACATAACTGGTTACCTCTTGTCTATATTTATTTAATTATTTTGTAATATGATTGTATCATATTAAACAATTTCCATTATACATTCATTACTTTCAAACACATCACCGGAAAACTATTAAAATTTGTAATTGTATAACTAAATTTTAACTCAAACGACATCAAACGGTTTTTTATTTCTAATTAATTGAAAAATTGTCATAGTAATGCTCTATTTAATTGGTTTGACATTGACATGTTGTGGATTTTTTTTTCTGTTCATCAGTTAATGTTTATCAAATAATAAAACGGTTGTCAGTTGGTATTAATTATCACGGACTACGATCCTAATAAAACCAATGTATTAATATCATTACCACGTTATTATCCACAGTTGCAGATAGTAATATCTAAAACCTTGTTGCTATCGTTATAGCACACTAATCTTTTGTAATTTATAATTTTTAAATTAAAAAAAACGAGCCAGTTGCAATTCAGATCCCAATTATTATGTGTAACTAGATTTTTCATGTTACTATTTATTTTTATAATATTTACGTTCAGTTTTTTTTAGTAACTATGACATCAGAATCCAAAAAAAATAAGTTGTTCCTGTTATTTAATTTTATTGTCAAAGAACAAAAATATGTTGAAAAAGTATATAAATTAGGTACACAAAAATATTTTTTGTATATTATTATTATTCCTATAATTTTATTACTCATTTGAACAAATTTTCATATATTAGAATGAAGTTGTTAAACATTTTTGTGAAGATGCAGAAAGTGTC